CACACACACACACACACACACCCCTACCATAAACCACACACATACACACACACACACCTACCATAAACCACACACACACACACACACACACACACACACACACACCCCTACCATAAACCACACACATACACACACACACACCTACCATAAACCACACACACACACACACACACACCCACCCCCCCCCCCCCCCCCCCCCCCCCCCCCCCCCCCCCCCCCCCCCCCCCCCCCCCCCCCCCCCCCACACGCCCCCCCCCCCCCACCCCCCCCCCCCGACAGCCCCACACACACACACATACAATATACCATACACACACACACACACACACACACACACACACACACACACAAACCTGCCATAAAAACCAGCTATACCACGCCCAGGTACACTCAAATTATATAAATGAAATCATGGGACCAGGCAATGATGGGGCATGCCTTTAATCTCAGCACTCGGGAGGCAGAGGCAGGTGGATCTCTGTGAGTTCGAGACTAGCCTGGTCTACAAGAGCTAGTTCCAGGACAGCCTCCAAAGCCACAGAGAAACCCTGTCTCTAAAAACAAAACAAAAAAAGAAAAGAAAAATGAAACCATGGCATTTGCAAGAAAAGGATAGAACTGCAAATTGTTTTCTCTAATGCAGATCCTAGATTTTAATTATTATGTATGTGAGTGGGGGAACAGGTCATGAAAAAGGAAGGGGACCATAATGGAGGGGAGAAGCTTAAAGTAAGGTCCTGAGGGGGCAAAGGAGGCAGTAGTAATGGGACATGGGGCTCAGTGTTTGGGAAGCAGAGGCAGGTGATCTCTGGGGGTTCAAGAACAGCCTGGTCTACATAGTGAGTCCCAGGACAGCCAGAACTACATAATGAGATACAAAATAAAGATACAAAAAAAAATTAAAAAAATAAAAATAAAATAAAAAGAAATGTAACATGAAGGGCTGGGGGGGCAGAGACCAGCAGCAGAGGGTGGGAGAGAAAGACCCACAAAAGAGTATGAAAATAGCATAATGAAATTCATTTCTTTGATTACATTTAAGGGTTAACAAAAAGCAAATGCCTGCAAAGCTTCAGGCTGCATGGATCTCCTTTGGGACTCTAGGATAAACCATTGCTCTCAGCCCACCAGCTAACGTGTGCATACATACGTATACATATAATCCCTAGTCAATCATTTTTCTTGCTAATGTCATAACTTTTTTGCTGCTAAATAAAACTGAGGTTGTGTGTCCCATATTTTCTTTACTCACTAGCCATACTTATATAATTGTAAATTGTACAGCAATAAACATAAATGAACAAGTATCTCTGTGGAAGAACTTAAATTTGACTCTGGACTGGTCCACATGGTAGCTGTTTTTTGTTGTTGCTTTTTTTTTTTTTTTTTTTTTTGAGAAACCACCAGATTCTCACAGCAAACTGGCTACACTGGCTTACTCTTGCCCACAGTTTATATCCTCACCTGGGTTCATTTTCTCAACTTCAGCCATTCTGACTAGAGTGAGGACAAACTTGGAGAGTAGTTTTAACTTGCATTTCCCTTTAAGTGTTTATTGTCAGGTTGCTTCAGTTCTTTAGTCCATTTACTGACTTGAAGATTGAGTATTTTTTAGTGTTTTTCTTCTCTACATATTTGCCTTCAGTATTTATTTAGTAGTAGCTTGTTCTATGCCAGAAGAACATTGGGTATATTAATCTATTAATTTAACTGTTTTTTTTTTTTTTCAAGACAGGGCCTTGCTATGTAACTCTGGTTGTCCTGGAACTATCTAAACCAGGCTAGCCTCGCTGGAGGGATAGCTCAGCCATTAAAGGCTAGGCTCACAACCAAAGATATAAGAGATCTGCCAGCCTGCCTTCCAAGTGCTGGGACTTCCAAGTGCACCGCTAAGCCCAGCTTAATTTAACTCTTAACAAGCAATTCTCTTGATTATATCTTCATCACCATTTTAGATATGTAAAACAATGTATCTAGATGTGAAGATACTGTGTTCAAGATCTAAACCTAAGCTGCATGATCCGGGCTCTCTTAGTCAGCCTAGGACACTTTTCTAACTCCTGAATGTTCGTTCTTTTAACTATACAAATTCACATTGTGTAGTTATCCTGACCCACAGGACAGCAACCTAGAGCAACAAGTCCAGGGAGGGGAATGGGGACAAGAGACTCAAGAGAATGACCACAAGACAGGATTCTGATCAAGTGGCAAATCTTATTTTTTTCCAGGCTAGCTTATATAGTCAGTAGTATGGGGTAAAGGGGAGGGGGAAAAGGGGAGGGGGAAAAGAGGCCAAGAGCCAGGCGTTAGTTCAAGCAGGATGTTAGAAAACTATAGGAGGATGTTGGCAGGGTAAAAAGTTCATGGGTGGTAGGGTGAGGGAGGGTTGCTTAGGTAAGTAGGCCTATGGTTGGAACAAAGGATTGACGTCTGGATCATGTTGTTCTTTTTGGGTGCTCATGCTTCTAGAAGCCATTTATAATCAAAGGACAGTTCTATAACCCTGTGGCTTGCCCAGTTTGGCCTAAAGGTTCATGCCAAGCTGTATGTCTCACAACAACATTGCAAAGTACAATGTGACTTGTCCTCACTCTAGTCAGAATGACTAAAGAAAATCAACCCAGGTAAGGATGAAAGCCGCTAATGAGTGTAAACTGGAGCAGCTACTAGGGGAGTCAGTATGGTGGTTTTTAAAAGAAGGGAGAGAACAGAACAACAGAAATGGGCTAGAGGTGGCCTGGTGGTTAAGAGCACTTGCTTTTCTTCCAGAGGACATGGGTTCATTTCCCATCACCTTACAACCATTTGTAACTCCATTCCCAGAGGACCCAACATGTTCTTCTGGACTCTGGGGAGCACCAAACACACACATGGTAGACGTACATGTTTGCAAAATACTCATACACACAAAACAAACAGTTAAACACACACACACACACACACACACACACACACAGAGAGAGAGAGAGAGAGAGAGAGAGAGAGAGAGAGAGAGATTGATTTGGTAGAGCTGAAGAACTACCTTTACACAAATACAAATACACATCAGGAAGGTCAAACTGATTGGCAAAACACCTGCCACAGTTAAGTGTTGGGTCCCATTTATTTTGCAGAAATCATCAGCTGGGTCTGTTCACTCTGAAAATCTAAAACAGTGAAAAGGGCATGTTACTTCAATCGGAAGAAGTCACTTAAAATTCTAGTTCTGTCATTTACTACCAAGTCATTTAATCTTTAAAACACTTTGCTCATCTATAAAACAAATCCATCTAAGTACAAACACCAAATCTGAAGTGTTGCTATAAAAATTAAGCTGTGGCAGAGTAATACCCTAAATTGATTAACCATGAAAAACCATCATGATACAAAAATCAATTAAGCAACTATTGTCACTGAGTAAGGAAAGAGTGGATATTAAGATTCCCAAGATGTATTTCCTCTATCTCTGAAGTTTCCCATAAAACACAAGGATGTTAAATTTGTTTTCTAGTCAAGCAGTGGTGGTGTAAGCCTTTAATCCCAGCACTCTGGAGACAGGCAGGCAGATCTCTGAGTTTGAGGCCAGTCTGGCTGGTATACAGAGTGAGTTCCAGGACAACACAGAGAAACCCTGTGGTGTTACTTAATTGCCAATTCTGTTTTTGACAAGGAACAGTAATGGTTATATGGTTAACATTTAAAGGGAGAAAAAAGCCAAGTATGGTGACATTTACTTAGAATCCCAGTGCTGTCAAAACAGGGACAGGCAGATCCTTAGGGCTTGCTGACCATCAACCTAGCCAACATGGCCAGCTCCAAAAAATAAAAATACAATAAAGTGGATGGTGCTTAGAGAATGATACCCAAGGCTGATGCACACTTGCACGCATACATACATATACACACACATGGCTGATGCATACACACACATGGCTGATGCACACTTACACACACACACACACACACACACACACACACACACACGTAATAATAAAGCATGAGGGAAGTAACAAGAGATTTCATTTAAAGACCACAAGTAGAATTTTTCATATTTTTCTTTTCTCCCCATAACTCACACCACAGATTGCAAGAGAGTCGGTAATATAACACCAGATGTTAAAAATATATATATATATATTCAGCCATAAATTAACTAAAGGACAAGTTTTATACAACTTATGAAACATCATTACATCACATATGAAATCCAGATGGTGAGACGTCTGTAACTACGATCTATAGTTTAAGAATCCTTTTGCTGAGCTGGCCAGTAGTGGATGATTATCACAGCTTTTCCCGAAGAAACTAATCCAAACAACCAGCACACCTGCTAGTCCCAGTACTTGGGAGGTAGAGTCAAGAGGTGTTCAAGGTCAAGCCTCTGTTACATAGCAACTTTGATGAGGCCAGCCTGGGCTACACAGAGACCTATCTCCTACAGCAACAACAACAAAAAAAAACCAAAAAAACAAAAAACAACAACAACAAAAAAAACAATAATGACTCTAATCCAAGGAATTTAACTTTCGGCTTCTAGGGACATTTTGGAGACACCAAAAAAGCAGTTAGAGAAGAAAACACAAAGTACTCTGTTTAGAATACAACCTATCTGGAGAAACATTCTTAAAATAGTAACTACTGCTTGTCTGTTAATCAGTCTATCAATCTTACAGGGAGATGCTACAGCATGGATCTGAACACTCCTCACAGAAGCCCATGTGTTAAGCCTGTGGCACTACTGGGAAGCCATGGCAACTTCAGGTCATGCCCTGTGGGAGACTTTAAGGCATCAGGGGTGGCCCCTCAAAGGGAACTGGAAAAACCCTTGTCTCTTCCTCTCCATCTTCTGCATCCACAATGAGGTGAATAATTTGTGTTAGCATGTGCTCCCAGCCACAGTATTCGACCTCATTACAGGCCTGAAGCAACAGGGTCAACCAATCTTAAACTGAAACTTCCAAATCCATGGCCCCAAATAAACCTTTTCTCTCTACAAGTTGATTCACATGAGGCATTTGCTACCGTGACATAAAGATAAGGCAGGTAGTGTTAAGAACAAGAGGATTATGCAGAAAATAAGCCAAAGAGCCACACAATTTTAAGGTATTATTCAAGAGCTAGTAAGGAAACAACAGGTATCACCAACGAAAAGAAGCCAATGCCACCAACAGTTCAGTGTGAAGAGGTACCTGCTGCCAAGCCTGGCAGCACAAGTTTGATCCCAGGGCCAGCTTAGTGGAAAGAGGAAAGCTGACTGCTCAAGTTTTCCTCTGATGTCACAGATGTATCTGACCTCCACACACAGGCCATGATACTTGTACCTCTTCCCCAAATAAAAATTTTAAAAGCTGCAAAGCAAAAGTAAAACCTAAGAGACCAAACGAAGTCATTTCTCTACTTATTAAATGTTTTGCAACAGGGAGCTAGATAGTTGGCTCAGTGGTTAAGAGCACTGGCTGCTCTTCCAGAGGACTCAGGTTTGATTCCCAGCACCCACACGGTGGCTCATCACAATCTGTGACTCTACTTCTAGGAAATTCAATGCCCTCTTCTGGGCACTCTGGGCACTAGGAACACATATGGTGCAGAGACATCCATGCAAAACACCCATGCACATAAAACAAGTAATAAAAATGTTTTGCAGCAGATAAACTGAAAACTATTTTCTGCATCTCTTAAGAAACACTTGCATTTCTTTGATAAGGATTTCTGAGCCAGTCACAGTAGCACAGGACTGTGATCTCAGCTCTTGAGAGGTAGAGACATGAGGATCAGGAGTTCCAGGTTATCTTGGGCTATGAAGTAAACCTGAGGCCAGCCTGGACTAAGATTGTCTAACAACAAAAGAAGTCAGGCCTATACAAACACACTTAGTATACTTTCCTCCCTCAAATTTTCACTATAAAAATTCACTTGGAGTTGGATACATAGCTCAGTGGCAGAGCACGTGTCCAGAATGCTTGAGGCCCAGGTTTCAATACCCACAATAATTTTAAAGGTTCATGTGAGGTAATTGGAAAGCCACTACTTAAACAGCCTTAAACAATGAGCTGTTAAGTTACAAGCTAGTGAGGAATATGGAACTTGATGTTTTAGCGAAAGTCACTGTTTTCTACAACTGACTGCTTTTCTTACACAGTCACAGAAAAGCCACCTAGTCTTCTTGCTAAGGCCAAATCCCAAAAGGAACCCAGCAAAGAAAAGCCATCAGTAATAGAACTTTTAATTGTGACCAGCCTATAAATATTTTAAGGCTTTTAAAGCTTGCCTTAACATTTAAAAACAACAACAAAAAACTACTTTTCTGGAGCAATATTTGTTTTTAGGAATTTGTTGTTTTTGACTCTAGAAAAACAATTTACTAGTTTTTAAAATCATGATCACAAAAATCATATTCATCTATTGCTAGATCTTTGAATGTTTGGAAGCCTCAAGCTAGATGGGCTCTAGCTTTTCTATATATTTTAGGATGCCTATTTATAGAGTTGAGGGAGTATCTTCCCCCCAAAGTGATAAGTAAAACCTTTGCCCACCAAAGCCTCATTTCTGCAACACCTCACATCCGCTGCAACCACTGCATCTAGACCAGTGAGGCCTAAGGATGCACTTACACTTCCCAGCAATCTTCCTTCCTTCCCACTGAGGCATTTTCAAAGTGTAGGATGTAAGCTGGGAGATGCCTCATCAACAATGTACAATTTAAGTGACAAAACCAGTATAGAGTAAACCGAGTTTTACCCAAAACTTTAAGTTTTATCACCTAAATTCTACTACTTTTACAATAGACAACACTCAGCTTAAATTCTAGATGAAAATCTTTTTAGATAATAGAAAATATAAGCATATAAATGGAATAATGTTCAATTTCTTTTCTTAAAAAACTCAGCTCTAAAGATGGATGAGTTTAAATTTAACTTTTTGTATAAAACGAAAATCAGTGGTAGTAAGGCTGAAAAACTAAATTACAAAACAAATACATGATCACCATTCAAATTCTTTGGATTGTTTATCACTAAGCCCCGACACTTAATACAAAAATGTAAAATTTTCCTTTTATATGTGAACATGTTGTACTTTAGGAACTCTGTAAATTCTCACAGCTGTCAGAATTGCAGAAAGACAAGGTGAGGGCGGAAGGTACAATGGCGGTACACTGTAACAGGAACAAACACTGCTAGGAAACATGTCTGTTTCTCTGTTGTACAAAAACATTTTAGCATCTTCTAGTTTCATCGGCTCTTCAACTGTCAAACAAGAAACCTTTACTTCTCATCAAACGAATGAGTCCTAAGACTTTCTAAAGGATGGACCTCGATTATTGGGTCCCCTTTACATTTAAGGCCAACACTGGTTTTAATTTCTATTGGAACAAGGGAACTTTTCACCAGAGTCCTTAGAATGTTCAGGGAGGAAAATCTCCCCCAAAGCTTTTCACGTCCATTCCGAAGAATCAGAATGTGATAGAAGTTGCAGGAGATCCAGAACACACGCTAGTCATATTTGATCCTCTCTATTAGGTGCCGGTCCTCCTTGTAATGGGAGATAATCTGAATCAGTATGGAACAGTTGATCAGAAGAAAGAACAAACCAGCTAACCAAATAAACAGGAAGGTGTTCTTTCCTTGAAACTCTAGAACGTACGCAGGAGTCAGCCATAAGGCCTGCCCTATGAACCACAACATCAAGAGAACTATGGCCCTTTTCCAAGGCATTCTCACTAGTGGCATCACCAGTGGCAGAAGGCAGAGGTACCAAAGGAAGTACTGAGAGGTGCAAACTTTGTTAAAAGTCACAAAAATGGACGTGTGAAGGAAACAGCAAAAGACAAGATCTCTGTAGTAGGCAAAAGACACGGCAGAAAGCAAGATGAACTGTGGCAGGAATGCGGCAAGCCCCAGGGTGAAACTCCACTTGCTCTCGGCAGTCAAATACAGCATGTAGAAGTAGGGAGAGAAGTTGTGGCGGATATCCCGCCTGGTCAGGTGATAGAAGTAGGTGTGCTCCAGAAACTCCCAACCGTATTTGTAGTAGAAGCCGAAGCTCAGGGCGAAAAACGTGAGTCCCGCCACGGCTACGAAGAGCAGCACGGCCCCGCTGCACAGCCTCTTCAGGAAGTCGTACAGACGGGCCTGGAAGCAGTAGCGGGCTTGCCGGAGGCTCTCGTCGTCGTCGCCGCGCTCGGGCCGCAGGTGGAGCGCTATGGGGAGGATGTAGGTCACCGGGTACATCTTCATGTGCACGGCGAACCCGTAGAAGACCGCGGCGCAGGCGACGAGCCGCTTCTCTATCAGGTACAGCGCCGTCAGCACCAGGGAGGCGACGATGGAGTCGGCGTTGCCCCGGCTCGACACGGCCATGGGCAGGGGGTTAAGCAGCCAGAAGACGCAGTAGCCGCAGGGCCGGCGGCGCCCCAGCCCCCTGAGCAGCAGCAGGCGGTACAGGAGGAAGGCGGTGAGGAGGTCGCAGCTGATGAAGAGGAACTTGCCGAAGAGCTCGCTGAGGTAGACGTTGGGCGTGAGCAGCCAGCTCAGCAGCGGGGTGTAGCGGTACGTGGCCCTCAGGTACGGGGAGCGCCCTTCCGAGACGAAGCGCGCCGCGTCCGTGAACACGTGGTAGTCCACGTCGGTGTACCGCACCAGCAGAGTGCGGTCCTGGAAGACGCCGTAGAAGACCAGCGCGACCCGGGCCAGGAAGGCCACGCCGAACACGCCGGCCGGCGGCACCCGCAGGTTCAGGAACCATTCCCCCCAGTGCCGGCTGCAGCTCATGGTCTGACCCCGGCTCCGCGCCGCGCCCCCTCGCCCGCTCGCCCGCTCTCGCTCGCTCTCTCCCGCTCTAACCGTCCTCCAGCTCCCTCCACTCGGCCGCCGCGAGCATCTCCTCCGCTGGGCTGCAAACACAAACAACCGGGGAAGGAGCACTTCCGGCACCAAGTCCCGCCCCCCACGCCACTTCCTGACGGCCCCGCGCCGGTTCTCTGTTGTGTCCTCCCCACCACCGCCCCCCTCCCCCGCGGAACAATTACGGTCCTCGGGATTGGCTGTCCAGCTTCCGGCGGAGGCGGGATTTCCGGTCCCTCGTTGCCCGGAAAGCACGGAGCGGATGAGGGGTTGTGGAGCGGAGTGAGCCGCGCTCCCAACTCGGGTCAAGCGAGGAGGACTCTCGGCCCTGAGTGAGCTGTGGCCTGCCGGCTGCAACCCCCCAGAACCGGCTTGCAGCACTGGGAGTGAGAAATGTAGATGGAAATGTAGATGGAAAGGAAATAAACCTAAAATAGCTCTGGGTTCCTCCTTGCGGAATACGTCTATGTGGTCACCCCCGAGAGCCGTCAGCTCCGTTCTTTTCAAGCATCCTTCACCCACTCGCTTTCACCCCTACTACCATTAGTTTTTTAATTTTTTCTTTCTTTTTTTTTTCCCCCAAGGACTCCAGTTCTTTCGTTCTTTATCTGGTGACTTCCTGCACTTACTTAAAATCGACTTTTAAGAACTTCATACTTTTAGAATACTTGCAATTGCAACGAAATTGTAGGTTTCTCGAAGAGTACGAAGTATACCCTTATTTCTTTGTACTTTCTCGTAATGTATTACAGTCTCAGACGCATGGTAACTGACACAGGTTGACCGGCTTGGTCTTACAAATTGAGCCTGTTCCTAGGGAAGTCTTGTAAGTATAGCCGTGGCTCCACTCAGTCTGGACATGCATCCTACACTTCATGTGTATCCTTTGAAATAGCCATACTAACCTTCTATTCTAATATTTCTATTCTTTGATATGCTTTGGTGTAAGTATATGTTGTGGATTAGTAACTACTTCTAGTCAATTTTCACCATGGACTAGCCATATTATGCAGTGATAACACGTTGCCATTCAAATAACAACCGCTATGATTCATAATAGTTGTTTGTTAAGGGCTTATTTACAATTGTCAGACGCACTAACTACTTTTTAATGTAAGTAGATACTGTTACCTTTACCAAGGAGGAAAATCAGTTCCTGTAGAGTAAATAAGTCACACAGCCAATCAGCCAAATAAAAGCAGGTCCACCTCACCCAACATACCTTAATCGTTGTGTGATGAACTTGCAAATAAGATGCTGATTTGGAATTCTGATTTCTCTCTGTGTTTTGTCTTCTTAATCTCACCTTGAAATCTTTCTGATATCCTCTCTCATTGTTACTCTTTATATCCCTGCTTGTTATTTTCCTTTGCGAGTTATAGGTAAGTGAGGTTTAGCCTCAGTAGAGAATATGAGAGAGATGCCTGAAGATTTAGTAAGGGTTCTTCTGGGTAGGTTGTTTTAGGTATTTTGACAGAAAAGCCTCAGCTAATTATCCTCTGTGGCTGGCCTAGTAAATAGGAGAGACACTGTATTCAGGAAGATAAGGAAATAAAAATCAAAAGCAGCAGCCTGCCCCTGGAGTCAAATGAGTGAGAAGCAGAAAATAGCAAAAGTCTTGACCAGGTATCACTCCCTGCCTTTAGTGTCCCACCCTGTGAAGTGTTTTCCACAGATTTTATATTTTAGGATATGTTAATTATCTATTTTATTAGTGTATAGTGAATGCTTCAGGCTTGGTTATGTTTGTTATGTACCACTATTCCTCACAAGTATGTAAGACCTGCAGATTTGGGATCTGGTTATTTCATATATCTTGTACATTTAATATGTCTTATGACTCACTTGCCTATTTATTAATGATGAAGGGCCCAATTTCCCTCTCCCCTTTGTCCTTCCATCTTAAGGACCAAGAATCAGTGAATATAACCTGTTGCTTCTTGCCAGAGTATTTGGGTTGGATATTGACTACGACTTTCTCAGGCTCATGCTAGGTAAGAATAGATGAAAAATCCATTACTTTCAGACTTGGGAACAGAAATGCTTCCTGCTTAAAATGGACTTCCAGACCCTTGACGATGTGTAAGAAAAGTCATCCACAAAGTGTTTCCTAGTGTGAAAGGAAAAGAAAAATGAACTCCAACATCACCATCTAAAAGGGACAGTGTCCCAGATGCAGACCAATTTGACTCCTGCAATCAGTAAAGCCAGTTTTCAGATTCCTGAATCTTAGTATTTATTAAGTCTTGCCCTTTATGAACTGGATTTTTCAAGCTGGTCAATGGTGGCTCATGCTTTTAATCCCAGCATTTGGGAGGCAGAGGGCATGCAGATCTCTGTGAGTTTGAAGCCAGCCTTGTCTACAGAGCGAGTTCCAGCCAAAGCAATACAGAGAAACCCTGTCTCAAAAAACACAAAAAACAAAAAACAAAAAAAAAAAAGAAAAAGAACTGGATTTTCAGGCTGGAGAAATGGCTCAGTGGTTAAGGGCACTAAGTGCTCCTCTAGAGGACCCTGGTTCAATTCCCAGAAACCACATAGCAACTCAGAATTGTCTGTAATCCTGGTTCCAGGGGATTCGTGGCACCAGGCATGCACATAAAATAAAATAAATACTTTTTTAAAAAAATGAACTGGATTTGCAAGCCATGGGGGGCAAAGGTGCTTGCGGCCAAGCCTGACAACCTGAGTTTGATTCCCCAGGCCCCATATGGTGGAAGGAGAGAGCTGACTCCAGAAAGTTGTTCTCTGATGTCCACAAGCCCTTGCACACCTAAACACACAAAAATAAATAAAAGGTTTTTTTTTAATTTAAAACCTGAGCTTGAAAATTATTTGTTAAAGGATATTAATAAGGGAAAGAGCAAGAAAAGGGTTGGAAGGATTGGGGGGATACTATTAATGAAATGTATGAGTGTAAGGGAAAGCCAGTAAGAAAGGCTGGCCTCATGATCAGGAGGTCTCCCAGCAGAGCCAAACTGAGTCCCCCTTTCCCATAAGTCAGCCTATGAGTTTGAAGATAACAAGATAGCTTTCGGTTTCTGAAAGAAGATACGGTGAAAACAAGACATTCATCCAGTTTATTTAGTAGTTTCTTCTGAACAGACAAAAATAAACCAAAAATACCTCACACATCTTTTTTTTTTAAATACATTTGACCTGGTTTAGTCTTTAATGCAGTGCGTAGAAAACTCATCCCTATATACTTCTGCTTCAGTAGCATTGGCCAGCTAGCTGTACAGTATAGGTAATGTTATTTTGCAAAAGAAATAAGTTAGCTATCAGGGGTAAAGGTTCATGATAGCAGCCATGGAGAAAGTGCAATGTCCCTGGCCAGTAGCTACTTTATGACTGCTTTTCTTCCTCTGCTGACCTCAGGGAAACCCCTGCATAGTTTTACTAGCTGAAGGGGGTTTCAGGAAGTGGGCGGGGAGGTAGGGAGCAGCAGGAATTAAGGGGAACACAGCTTAGGGGTTTCAGAAACCTCCCATAGAATTGTATCATCCTCTAGGAAAGATGAAAACCACATTCTTCATAGAAGAGCCTCCAAGCCAAAGCATCCCATCTGCCTCCCTGCCAGGACTGGAACGATGACCCTCTCTTTGTACATAAGCTCGGGCCTGTCTTGGGAGTATCTTGAGCTCAACAGCTCATCAGTCCTGGCATTTGTATTCTACCAGTACGGTTTCCACTTAATGCATCCCAAATACCAGCTTGTCAGATTCTCAGTTTTTAGTTATGGGGCCTAGAGCTCCTATCTTGGTGCAAGAATGGGAAATGCAGAGTTGTGCTTCAGGAGAGGAAAAGGATGCTTTTGTTTGCTTGCTTGTTTGTTGCCAGCAATAGGTAGAACATAGTCTGAGCGGTAGATTTTCCTAGATGTCCGTGACGGAGCATTTCCTCTAGCTCTTGTCCTATCAGCACAGGCTCATCAGCCTTGATGAGTCCTTTATTTATGAAAGGGACAGGGTCTATCAATCAAACTTAAAACCATCAGCTACTCTCACCGCTCTGCTGAACATAACCCAGAAAATCCAGGTATCCTACTCCATAAAACCAAGGCAAGATATTTGTCCCTTTCTAAAGTCTGAGTACTTCCTTTCTGTACATTCCATATATTTGGATATATGTACATCTATATACATATCTCTCTATATATTATCTCTGTTTTTTCCTTAGATAAACATATATATCATATCCCAATTTCCCAAGTTTCCACCCATCTCTCCTGTGTCGGCCGTAAGTAAGACTCTGGGTTTCATTTCACTAGGCCCCTTAACCTCGTCTTTCTCATTTTCACACTCTAGTACCCTTCCCCACTGCTTGTTTTGCCCACCTGAAATCTCCTACCCCACTTCAGATCCTCATCTGTTACTCTCCTGACGTGACAAGCCTAGAGCTGGTGCAGACAGGGAACCCATTTCTCATCAGGACTGGCTGCTAGTAAGCTTGTCCTATGTCCTGAAGTGGGATTCCAGGTGAGGCAAGCCAGGCTTCCATCCGAAGAACCCCTTGGGATTGGGAGTGGGAGTTGCTCCATGCAGAACACTGGGCTTCTGGGAGAAGGGTGCCATTCTGAAATAACAGGACGGAATGATTTTAAAGTGCAACTTAGAAGAAAGCCTGGGATTGTAGAGGAAGTTCAAAAAGAGTTAAGGCAGAAAATGTTCTCTTCTCCCATTGTTATGCAAGAATCTGAGGAGCATTGGGCCTTAGGCAAGGGACTGGGAAGAGAGTAATTCCTTCAGGAGGGAAGCAGCAATGTGCAGAAGAAACCAGACAGGGGAACAATTGCCAGTGGATAAGAAGATACACACAGCAGGACACGAAGTCCCTGCACTCCGAAAGCCACTGGGAAGGCACAGATTTGAGTATATTTGAAAGCACAGGCACTGGCTCTTTGCCTGGAGCTCTATTTCAGACGTTCAGGTTCTTCTGGTTCCTGTTTTGATTCGAGTTGAAGGATAATGGTGAGTTTTACAGTAAGGAGGGGTTGAATGCTCTTTGTTTTCAAGCTGCAGTTAATTGAGTTCGAGGGAAGGACCAATGTAAGGGACCGTGCATGGTTGAGATGGACAGGCTCAGCCGCAGGGTCTTCTGGTTTCTCTGCAGGACTTTGCACAGAGATGTGTGTATACATTCTGAATAAACGTGTAGTTTGTCATCATTTGTCAAGTCCACCTTAAATCAACAATTATGTCATCACTGCTGGAGTTCCTGCCAAACCATCTTATGGGGTTTCCTGTGTACCTAAGTGGAACCAGAACTCACTTGTGCTTTGGACTTTAAAACCAGACCTCGTGCTTACAATGCCCTTTCCTGACCCCTGCCATGCTCCTCACCAGAGAAGTAGGAATGGCCTGAGTCTGATCCTAGGTTGTCTTTTTCGCTAGCCTGAGACTGGCCCATTGGCAGCAGAGTGTAGAGATGACACTGACTTTCATCATTTTATGCCATGTCAGAATGGCTGAGATCAGAACATCAGTTCCTCCCCTCTCAGCATTGCCTCATGAAATGGCTGGCACGTTTCTGAAGGGCACCAGGAGATGTGACAGAATAGTGGCTGTCAGCCCGAGTTCTGCTTCGGTCCAAACCCTAACAAAACATCACAAATTCCCAGAGGTTCTGATAACAATCTGGAAATCAGAGAAGCTGGTTCAACTTTCCTGGGGAATCGGTACCCTGTGACTAGTTCTACCTGATTGATGTTAAGAAAGGGAAGTGACTGTGTTTCCCTCTCTTTCTTCAAAAGCTTCGGTTAAGGGCTGAGGGGTCTGGGGTGGGTAGGGGAGGAAGAGGAGGAGTCAGGTACAGTGTAATCTGGAGTGGTTTCAGATATTTTCATGGGGCCTGAGCACTGGATTTAGAGAGCATTGGCAGCAGGGCATGGTGGAGCACACTTTTAATCCCAGCACTCGGGAGGCAGAGGCAGGCTGATATCCTTGAGTTTGAGGCCAGCTTGGTCCGCAGAGTGAGTTCAAGGACAGCCAGAGCTATATAGTGAGGCCCTGTCTCAAAAAAAATGTTTTTAAAGGGGGGGAGAGAGAGAAAGAGAGAGAGACAGACAGACAGACGGACAGACACACACACAGAGAGACAGATAGACAGAGATGGAGAGAGACAGAGACAGAGACAGAGAGACAGAGAGAGAGAGAGAGAGCGCTAATGTCTTCCCATTCACAGGACACAGTAAAAGAAATCTTTCCAGGACAGGGCCAGACTATTAGAGAATAGTTCCAAAATTGAATTTCTCAGAACCCAGGATGGATGCAGGAGGGGTGGTGACTGTTCCTGTTTCTCAGGTCAGCCCCTGTTCTATGGGAACAGAGGCTGAGAGAGAACTGGGAATCCCGAGAAGATCCACTTGAGAACAGGAAAGGAAAAGTAAGGTGGTGAGCCAAAGTCTGTGTTATGTCAGGAGTTACCAGCTGAGATTATATACACCATGACAAACCCTGGCTTCTTTCTTCGGGATTTGGTAGACAGCCCAGGGAAAACTGATTTCTGATTCTTTATTTCTGAGAGCATAGTCCATAGGGTGACTCTCTGAGAGAGTTTTGCTTTAGGGGACTCACCAGATGGAAACAGAGATGGAGGAAGCTCCAGTCTCGAGTCATCACACTTTCTAGTAGTGGGTAGTTGGGGGGGAGTCTATCCATCCAATCACATGGTCCTCCTAATGTGAATCTCCAAGCATGGCTGAGGCCTTCCAAGCCATTTCAGCCTAATCTTCCCTCTCCTTCCCCCATCCTGGCTTAAGAGTCGTGTACAGTGGCATAGTAGTAGAGGAAGGTGCAAGGGGACAGTGAGAGGAAACATAGGACTCCAGATGGCCTGGACTACTGACAGGCCACCGGCTTAAGGAAGGGGAAGTAGAGGATGGGTGCTTCTGGGGTTCTCCAGCGAACCCAGAAAGTCTCCTCTTCCCGGGGCACTGAAAGCGGAGAAGGCCAAAGGGCTGGGGAGGAGAAGACAGGAAGTCAGACATTGCTGATGCGCACACTAAGGGCACTGCCTTCCTTCTCAGCTTGTTCTCTTAATGATTCTTCCAACTTGAGCTTTTCTGGGTCTCCGTAGCGTACAGTGCTATCACGGAGACCACCAGGGGGAGCCACCTTCACAACTTGGTCAAACAGGCTGAAGTCAGCCACGTATTTGCCACTGGCTGACAGTGAGATAGCAGGTGTGAATTCATAGCCCCAGAGGATCTCCTCTGGAAGGTAGGAAGTGCGAACTTGACAGGTGGCGCTGGTGGACTCCACCGTCCCACTTAGGATCAGCACCAGCTCGAAATCCCCCTCCCCACTGCGGAGGGGGAGATCTCTCAAGGGACTTGTCTCATCTACCACGTGGTAGAAGGTCAGGGGTAGGATGAGAAAGGGGCTATCGGAGGCCGTGTCTACTTGGAAAGTCACATTGACCTGGTTGAGGCGAATATTCTCGCCCTCCTTTGTCTGGTGGGTCTGAAGCAGTTTGCCCGTCACCTGGCATCCAATGAGGAGACTCTTACGCATATTGGCAACTCGGATCATAAGGCAAGGCTTGCCGTTGTGGGAGGCTACAACAGCATGCTGGCTGAAACGGATAGTCTCAGCCCTCTTCTTGGGCCGGGCAATCTTTGCCAGGAAGGTACCTGTAATGAAGATCTCGAGGATGGTGGTGAGCACCAGCTGCGCAATAAGGAGCACGATGGCCAGGGGGCACTCCTCACTGATGTAACGGAAGCCATAGCCAATGGTGGTCTGGGATTCCAGGGAGAAGAGGAAGGCTCCAGTGAGTGTGTGCACCTGCACGACACAAGGGGTGTGGTTGGCAGGGGGCCCCAGCTCCAGCAGGTCCCCATGGGCCACAGCTACCAGGTACCACACCACACCAAAGAGGAACCAGGTGCCTGCAAAGGTTGCCGAAAAGAGCAGAAGCTTGTAGCGCCATTGCATGTCAATGAAGGTCGTCCATAGGTCCTTGAGGTAGAGGAAACGCTTGTCAGCAATGTGCTCCATTCGCACGTTGCTGCGACCATCTTTCGTGAGGACCCTCCTCCGGCGGATTCCTGGGGCCACCAGGGGCCGGCTTTCTGTCTGAGTCGTCTGACTGTAGTAGACCTTAGCAACTGAAGTCATCTACAGGGAGCAAAACAGCATAAAGGAGGTTACTGTCCAAATCCAGCCAACTCCTAGCACCACCCAATGGGAAGACACACTAAGATTTCCTTTTAAAATCTCTTATATTTATTTATGGCATGTGTATGTGTGTGTATGGGGGGGTGCTTAAGTGTCACTGCCCAAGGACAATTTTCAGGATTTTGTTTTCTCTCACCATGTGGGCCCTGGTCAAGCTTGGTGGCAAATGCCTTTACCTGCTGAGTCAGAGTCATCTTGTCAGCCCCTAACCTTCATTTTGATGCCATTTATCCTAGCAAATATTTGTAGAGCCCTTGTTAAATGTTAGCCACAGCCTGAGGTGCTGGTAGGTCAAAGATGAAAGTGGCATCATTCTTGCTAAGAAGTCACAGTTTAGTGAGGACATGAACTAAATGCATAATTGCAATACAGTGTAATAATGTTTTGATTTGGGGAAGAGGTGAGACACAGAAGGATGAGTAGGACTTGCACAGGTCCCTGAAAGTAGGAATGAGAGCTCTCCTGATCTCCATTGAACACACATACATGCGTGCACACACACACACACACACACACACACACACACACACACACACGTGCTTGACAGAGCCACTCCTGTGGAGTTACCTAGTTTAAAGTAAAACCCCTCCTCTCTGATGAATATCAAGGCAAAAAAACTATTCCACTGAAGTCCTTTTAGGACAGTCCTGCTTAAGATGTATCTATACCTTTAATTTCTCTATTCTCTCCCTTAGCCCCGAGTTAAAGCCCACTGGTGAGAAAATAGCAGAAGGTGCCCATCCTTCTACCAGTCAAGCATCCAGTCTCCTTCATTGGCCGCCATTTTCATCATCATTTGTTTGCACTACCTGGGAGAAGTTAAGTCTGGGTCAGGGTCTAGACTGGCGTGAGGAAGAGCAGAGACAAGATCTGAGCAAGAGCAAGAGCAATAAGCAGCAAGGAAGCAACAGGCTGACGCTTCCTGCCAGCACGGAGCCATCTCCCCACGGGTTGGCAGCGATGCCAGGTTGTAGGCAGCAAAACTGTCTTGACTGAGTGAAGTGAGGGTGGACGCCACGTCTGCACGAGCTCAAACTCAAGGTTGCTATTCGTCCTGACAGTAGAAACTGGGACAAGGCATTGAAATAGGAGACAATTCACCTAATACAAGGCGCCTGGCATCTCCTCCCAAAAAGTAACTTGGTACTTTTCCAGTAGAGAAGATTTGAATCACTGAGACTCTGAGTCTGATGCCTGAACTCCTGAGAAGGATGAAGATGATTTCTGGGATTTGGGGCTCTTTGGAGATCAGAGCCACCATTGCGTTCCCTACCCCGTATGTCTGAGTCATTGCATTTCATCATTGTTATTTATCAAGCTCCCTCATTTTCCCCATTGCTTTGCCTCTGGAAGAGTCGAAGTTATACGATCCTGTCCATGTACTCCCATCCACTGATCCTGGAGATCACCAATGGATGAGGGTCCTGAGAACATTCAGAAGCAGCAGCCTGCCCATTTTACCAGCCTGGAGACCGTTTGAAACTCTCATCCACAGGAGACTGCTACTCAGCCAGACCCAGTACTCTTCACCGCCCTATGGCCTTGATTCCCTTGAAGCTAAAAGGAAGCACTATAGCTCTGAATAATTCCTATTTAGAACTTAAATAAAGCCCTGCTCAATACTCAGAAATGCTAATAACAATAACCACCTACCACAATCCATATATATACATATACAACCCATATATACACACATATATATATACATATATATATATATATACATATATATATATATATATATCACACCAGCACTGTAGAGACTACACATAAAAATGAATGCTCAAACCCTCTTTTTTTTTTCTTGGTTTTTTGAGACAGGGATTCTCTGTGTAACGGTCCTGGCTGTCCTGCCTGGCTGTCCTGGAACTCACTCTATAGACCAGGCTGGCCTTGAACTCTCAGAGATCCACCTGCCTCTACCTCCCAAGTACTGGGATTAAAGATGTGCACCACCACTGCCTGGATGTGAAGCCTATACTGAGATTTTGAGGACTGTTGGAGGAACAAAGGGATTGCACAGTTAGGTATGAGAGAAAATAACTTTAATTTTCAAAAAGAAAAATGAAATCTATTTCATAAGCTATAGACAAATGGGTGATACTGATCCTAGGAAAGATTCTTCAATAAAATACAAGGATTGTAAATAGACAGAACAAGAGAGCAGGAAGTTGTCAGCAAGACTCACTGTGCATTTACTGAGAACAAGTCACATCAAAATAACTTAATTTCCTTCTACGATGAGGCTACTAAATTGTCAAGTCAACAAAATACAGATAATGTATAACTAAAGCTTCAGGGAGTTTTTTGACAAAATCTATCATATCTTTGGGAATAAGATAGACAAAAATGACTAGAAGAGCCATGTAATTAGGTGGCTTTAAAAATTCAGTAGTATGCATGATTAGAGCCCAGTAGCCTAGAATTCATTTCCAATTGATGTAGCGGAGAGATTTATCCTTGATCTTGCCCTAGTCAGTGCTCTTAACACTAATTTCATTCAAAACTAGAGAACATTGTGGCCATCAGTTGTGTGGTTGACACAAACCTGCAATGCTTTACAAGGACTGGGCAGAAATGGGATCTAAAAAGAACCAGATGAGTGAGCCAAATCTAACAAAAAGGATAAACATTATACACTGGGGCCTAAAAATTATCTGGGAAAATTAAAGATTATGAGGATGTAATTTAGTCGCATTACCTTGGGGGGGGAGAGATTTAAACATTTTAGCAAAAAAAAAAAATCCAGCATGAGTTGTTCATGCCAAAAAGTAATACAATCTTAAGCTAGTTTGGTTGAATGGAGTCTCTAGAACAAGGAGGTAATTGATTCCACTCTGCTTGGTTCATTCCACATCTTCAGTATTCCATCTCAAGCAGCAATCAAGAGATGAAAAAATTCGGGGCCAGATCACATGAGAAGCGATTAGAGGAAACAGACTAATTTGTCAAGAGAAGAGATGGTCTGAAAGAAAGAACAGATATGTATGAGATGCTTGGCTTGAGGGACTATCACATGAACCAAGGTTCAGATTAGTTTTTCAAGCTCCAAGAACAAAAAAGATCGGTGAGTTCAAACTATAGAGAGGAAGACTCCAGCTTTATTGACATAACAAAACACTATAAACAGGATTGTCCAGATGTGAAGAGTCCCTAGGAAGGTACAGAACATGCTGTCCCTGGATGTCCAAGGATGAGTTATACAGAGTTTTCAGAGACCCTACAGAGGAGATGAAAGCTCTGGCGAGATGTCTATTTGAGCTTCCGGCCACACCTATGGGAGCATCAAGAATGCCCCCTCCATCGCCTCACCACTCTTTTCCTGAACTTTCTGTGGTGCCAATCAGGGATCATTCATCTTAGCCTTCCCTTTGTGTTACAAGGAGGTGCCATGTATCCGGAAGGATAGAGACTCTCAAAAACATGACTTATCATTCTCCAAACAATAACCTATGTTACTTGTTATTTTATAAAATACATAATTTGATCCCCACACTATGAGGTAGGTAGGAAAGACATCATTAGAAACTAAGGATCAGAGAAAACCACTTCGAACAAATTAGTGGTAAAATGGGAAGCCAAACCCTGGTCCCTGGTTCCTGGTCCAAAACACCTGGTACCCTCTACTGAGGAGTTTTGCGAACACAGAGAAGACAGAGCCTGGAGCTTTGAAATCCGGGTTTTAAGGCTGTAGATTCATGAGTCCTAGAGATTTTAGCTACCCACTAGCTTTTTTTGTTGCCTCTGGCTGTTGTGTTTGCCGCCTCCAACTGTTGTGTCTGTGGTCCCAGCCTTTGTAACTGCCACCTCCAGCTTCTATCTGAAGTTCCCAGCTGTTATGCCACCTCCTACAGCCAAGCCACTTTGTTCTCAGGGGTGGCCAGACAGATAAACAATCAGCACACTCCACCCCCAAGCTGGCCAGGCCTCTGGGGGAAGAAAGCCAGCCAAGGTTCTGGAAGTGGTTTGTTGCTTGCTATCTTACCAAAAAACGTACACCCTGTTTCCTCTAGAGGGTGCAGTTTCTCCAAAACAGTCCCAACCACGCCCTGGGATTGGCATTCTAAAGAGCAGCCTGAATCGAGAGACAGAACCTGGCTATCTACCACCTTTCTTCTCTGAGAAGTGAGCTGATTCTTTCCCTAAAGCAAAGGTCAGCCCTAAGGACGGTGATGCTCATTCCTCCAGCAAATACCATGCCTATCTTTGGTTTCACGCTCTCAGCTCCCCTAGAGCTAGATTTCCTAACCTACAAGCACTTTTATTTTATGCCAGCCACTCATGCTTCAGAATGAATGGATTTATCAACACCTTTCTCAGGTACTTGATTGCTCACAAGACAAGACATAGCTCTTGTGGCTAAAACTGGCAAAGGTCCCCCATTGTTTTTAGGATAAACTGCAAGCCTCTGGTATGGCATTCAAGGTCCTCCACGAATTAGCTTCTGCTTACTTCTTTCTCTTTTTTCTTTTTTCTTTTTTGTTGTTTGTTTGTTTGTTTCAAGACATGGGTTCTCTGGAACTCTCTCTGTAGCCCAGGCTGGCCTTGAAGAGATCTGCCTGCCTCTGCCTCCCCGGTGCTGGGACTAAAGACCTGGCTTCTGCTTACTTCTTGGCCTTACCCTGACAGTCTTCCCACATCCTTAGACTTCAGCTGTGCAGGAAGCCCCACTGTCTGATTGATTCTTTCTACCTTTGGATCTGCCTTTGTACTGCTCAACTTCCTGGCTGTCGGATGACTTCCTGCCTACCTCCAAAGCTTGGACCAAGTGTTAATGATGCCTTTGGAAGCCTTCCTCAACCTCAGAGGAATAGATTTTTTTTTTTTAATCCCTACCCCATCTCACTCTGACATGAGTTTTCTAAGCACACTCTTGCCTGAATCCGGCTTCATAACACCAGAGTGCTTTGAAATGTTTATTTGCCTTTGTTTGCCATCTG